ACACTTTAGACACATGAACATTTGGCAAGGAAAAATATAAACATATCTGCGATTTTCTTAATTTGTCAATATCGGTGTAAAAAAGCATCTGTATAGCGAATTTATTTCAAACATGGCTGCTTAAGTTATGCAATATCGTGTATTAACTTCCAAATATATGGTATTCATTTTATTTATTTTATAACAAATACATTAGAAAATTTGTTATCTATCATAAGGTGTGATTTATTACTAAACAACGTTGAACTGGAATGCACAAATGTCAGTAATATGTTAAAAAAGGGTAATTTCGTTGTATTCTTTCAACATTAATACTTCAGTTTTATCTCAGTGACATATTAAAAGCAAAATAGAATGTGTGAATATAATGCTGAAACAATATCAATTCATAATAGTTGGCTGAAAGTAATAAATTCTGTGTTAATAGCTTTAAAATGTAAAAAGAAATGGCCAAAGTCGTATTTAACGGCGCCTCTGAAATGTCAGTCACATGAAATGATACAGCTGACACATCAGGCGAGCTGAAAATTCTATTGGTTATTTGTCCCCCTCTCTCGTAATTTGCTCTGGCTCGAGGACTAATTAGTACTGTTGATTGCATCATTCTTGCATACACACTCAAACCTTACGTACCATCCATCAGTCTCACAACCAGCAACCAGCGCCAACTTCGAGGGGCCTCTAGGTACATGAGTTTACAAGATTTTTAGCCGCTCTGCTGCATCCTATTGGAGTTCCTACCAGTATCGATTTCAGTGGTCATCATAGGATTCTTGCTCAGGGGTTGTTCGATCAGGTTTGCTGCATCCGGCCTTGGCTAAACTTTCAGGAAGTATTGAGCTAGATAAATGCCTTTTCGTGTGTTTGTGACCGGGTGCTTAGCATCTAGCATCATCACTAGTTGATAAAAAGCCGTAAACATGCTCATGATACAGACTCGTACACCTGAGTCATGTGACTATGGAGAGCTTTTTGTCTCTTTCATCCAACAGATCTTGCCTATGCTCACAGTAGAAGGGCAATCACAGCTGTGCCTAAATAGTTTTAATTTTTCTTAATCGAAGAGAAATTGCATAATTGTTTTTGAAATTATAGACCGAAAAGAGACCCGGAACTATTGTTAGACTGCCCTATCACGGTTTTAGAGGAAACAAAGTTCTTGGGTCTTATATTTGACCACCACTAGACAGTTATACTTCATATTAAATACCTTAAAGCTACGTGATTGAAGGCTCTTGATCTACTGAAAGTTGTTGCAAATTCTACGAGGGGATGGTATCTGTCAACCCTTCTTCACTTGCACAGATCCCTTATTCGATCCGGCCCGTGAAGATCCGGGGTCTTCAGCAACCCATGCTTGCCGTAAAAGGCGACTATGCTTGTCGTAAAAGGCGACTAACGGGATCGGGTGGTCAGGCTCGCTGACCTGGTTGATGCATGTCATCGGTCCCAATTGCGTGGATCGATGCTCATGTTGTCAATCAGTGGATTGTCTGGTCCAGATTCGATTATTTTCAGACCGCCGTCATATAGCTGGAATATTGCTGAGTGCGGCGTTAAACAACAAACCAACCAAAAACCTTATTCGATCCAAGCTAGATTATGGCTGAACTGTATATGACGGAGCTAGTAGTAATTTAGAGAAATGGGATGGTATACAACAAGGACGGAGACTCTGCCTCGGAGCTTTTTTCAAATTTCCAGTGTATAGTTTTTAGCTGGAGGCTGGTGAACCTTACCTCAAACAACGCCGTTAAAAATGATCCCTTCAGTGTGTATCTTAATTACATTCAAAACCTAGCCAATCCATCCTGTACTCCTCGTCCTCTTTAGGAAGAACTGCTTCGAAGCAAACCCAAGCTATTGCTACCACTTGGGATTTGGATCGAGCCTCACATTACAGCTGCAAATATTGATTTTAGATAAATCTCCATACCGACTTTTGTCTAACTCCTTCTTGGCAATTAGGCAAGTCTGAAGTAGGCATTTTTGTTACTAACTTTAAAACATCTTACACATATCAAATAATTTAACAACAGGAATATGTACAATTATTAGCTAATAATGACACTCATCGTTTCAATTTTACAGATGGATCCAAATATGCTGGCAGGGTTTCAAGCGGTACTGTTGTTGGATCCAAAACTCATATCTTTTAGGACACCAGATAATAGTTCTCCTTTAACTGTGAAGATCCACACCGTCGTGGAATACATTCAGCACCAATCTCTATATAAGCGGTTCAGGATTTACTCTGATTGTCTTTTGTGTCTTCAGGCACTTAACGAAATATCTTCAAACCACCAGGAGGTGCTTGATATTTTCAAATTGTAGAATGACGTCTCTACTGGTCTGTTCAACATCGTTGGTTACCAAGCCGTCTTTGCATAGTGGGTGACACAAGGTTTTTTTGGTTTGGTTTGTTGTTTTACGCCGCACTCAGCAATATTCCAGCTATATGACGGCGGTCTGTAAATAATCGAGTCTGACCACCCGATCCCGGTAGTCACCTTTTACGACAAGCATAGTCGCCTTTTACGGCAAGCATGGGTTGCTGAAGACCTATTCTACCCCGGATCTTCACGAGTCGGGGTGACACAAAGGCTAATCCAGCTGCTGAAGCAGCTTTGAAAAGTCTGTCGCTCCACTTCTGATGCCCCTCTCTGACTCAAAACCTTAGATCAAAGCATATATCAAAACATTAATTCAAACAAAGTGAAACACCGAAGTAGGTATAAAAACTGCATGGAATAAAAAAAAGCGTTTCACCTATTTGGGTTGTAAATCAAGGCATCGTGAAGATTTTCCTATAAATGTTCAGAAACCTCTGATTGTGGGTTCGAATCCCGGTTCGCCCCGATTATGTTTCTAGGTTTGTCAGCACCATATCCGTGCTCGTTGGTTTCACCGAAGTGGTAAACGTCTGAGACCTGCATCACTTCGGGCTTTCCTCCCACATTAAGCTGACACGCTGTAATATAACTGGAATAATGTTAAAACTCACTCACTCACTTTAAAAGAAGAATGATGTTTTTTGTATAAATATGTGGTAAATATTAGAAGGATATTTCTGGGACAGTACAGTCGTTTACCAAAGGAGTGGCATTCAGGGGATGGAGAAAGTATTGTAAAGTTGTTGTCCTCTTCATAGTGACACGGAAGACCTAACAATCAGAAATCAATCAAGAATTGTATGCCTGAGTGTATTTGAAATATATTAATTTAGTGCTAGTATTACGTACAGACATACGTAACCAGTGTGATGACAAAACTTCAGCTTTGACATCATGAAAGAAGCACAGGTACTGTAAGTTCACCTGATCCCCAGTTATGGTGGTTGCTGGTCGTCAAAAACCCGTCGTTGTAGTACTGAAAATGGTTACTTTTTACTCATCGGTATATATATTGCGAATATTTCACTGTCCTTCGTTGAGAGTTCTTTACGATATATACATTGTTCTCGAGGTTCGAGGCACGCCATCATGTCGCTTAAGATACTGTGTCTGTGCCAAAGCTGGCATCCACTAACAATGTGTTGGACAGTCTCATTAAGTTCATTGCATAATCTACATTTCATATCTACATTTTGATGCAAAATTACACATTGAAGGTTTTGAGTTGGAAGTAACTGGTCCTGAGCATCAAAAAGAAAGCCTTCTGTTTCACTTTTCAGGCCAGCCGACCTCATTCAAGCGAAGGCCTCTGCAGGGTTGCTGACCCTCTCAACACACTGCACATAGACTCGATGCAGTGGTCGTACAGATAGCCTCGCCTTGAAAAACTGAGTCTGGCCCGATTTGATATGGCACTTCGCTTGGTTGACACTCATTTCTGTAACGTCAAGCAGTACAGAACCATCAACAAAATCAACACCGACATTGAGATTAAGTCCCGCATCCTAAACCTAAAGTGCCACATATCAAAGCTAACCACCCTGTTCAATTCCACGAGCACCAGAAACTATTAGCGAGGAGTTTGAATTGCATTATTGTGCTGATCATTATCACTGATTATCACCTTGTCTACATTTTGTCATGTTAATGACGTAAATGTTAAGCAGTCTGGGAACTTATTATAGTTATTACAGAGTGTCCACCCCAGTGTTTACGTGTATACGTCCATAAATTATTGGAATCTATCAGACACAAGAACTGGGCTTCATTCATGTTGGGAACCGAATCCGGGCCTTCGGCGTGTCGAGCGAAATCTTTAGTCAGTAGCGGCTACCTCGCCTAGCTAGCTCACCTATTTTGTGGACTTTGCAATCGCAAGGTTTTCACATTATAAAAGTGTAAATCTGAAGATCTCTTTTCCAGTGTCAGCGGGCATCTCATTATCACTTGAAAGAAATTGGTCTGTATAATAAATTTTCATTATGCATGTGAATTATTAAATGCTTGTTTTTACATTTGGCGTGATGCTATTATCATCTGACATTATTGAAGGCTCTGTCCAGGAGGTTAAAGTTTCGTAAAAATATTGTCCCCCTGTCATAATCGATGTAACTATCATCAATCAGTGTTTTTAAGCCAAGTCATTGCTGAGTATTTTTTAACATTGGCTAGTATTGTGCACAGCCACCATTGGCTAAATTGATGACGTAAATCCTGCTGGGGTATCATGCAGGAAGCATCAACTCCAGCGAGGTGGCCTAACTTTGGTCACTGGTGGTCTATAGCCCGTGTTATAAAACTGTATACATGATATTGTTATGTTCAAATATGTTTCAGAAATTGTTTTTAAATATAACTTTGCATAAAAGACTCAATTGTGAATATATTAACTTGGTCTCGTCGCTCTATGGCTGAAATAATGCCGATTTTTAACTCACTCACCGTTAGGCCGACATCACTGCCCTTACTTTAATTAAACACGAGCTGGAAACCATTCCTGAGTTACGTATATTGCGAGACAAAGCGCGGAAATGTCTTTAGGGAATAGATCTCTTTTCTGACTGCTCGTATTCCATCTGTGAGATTAAGTCACAGTGCAAGTTGGTGGATCGGAGCGAAAGTATTAGAGAACGTGTTTTACTGCATACAGCCGACTGGAACTTTGTTGGGTGACAGGACCTGAGCAGTATCACAAGTAGGTATTTTTTGTCTACTGTGTGAGACAAGATACACTGACAGATATGATTAATTCTAGGTTTACATTAATATCAAGCCGGCAGGTACAAGTACAAATTAGCAGGATACATATCCTCCATCTTCATTTCACGCTATTGATGAACCGGGGAGCGACAGGGTGGCTTTTCGAAAAATAGATCGATATGGAATTTCAATTGCTGAATATGATTCAACTTCAAAATTCAATACGAAAGTAATTCATCAACAGCTAAATAGACATCATCACATGTGAGCATAAGCTCCATCACTGCGTGCGACAATTTCATCAGTTATTCAATCGGGGCAATAAATGTTAACAAAGATGCAATTTTTAAAAAAACATTATTATTTCAGCTAGGCGACTAACAATAGCTACTGAAAAACATAGAAACCGTTACTAAGGAAGGAACTTTTGCACATCCCCAAAGTGTCAGATTAAATCCGGTTTACTGCATTCCTTCATAATATATTCATGCTTAGGATAGTATAACCCTTGTGGATATAAAGATATCAAAGAAATTCATTTGTGGATGACTGTTTTATGACTCGTTCTTAAGAAACGTGGTTTACAAAACAACGACGACAACAATTCTGTAACTGTACAGGAACCAGATACATGCACTATGTTTTGACAGACATAGCTCTAAGTAAATTCTCCTATCAGAAACAAGTTTTATTTATTGATCAGCTCTATCTTCAGAGAACTGAGCCCACTAAACAAAATACTATCTATTTTCCGGGATTCTACATTGAACAAAACATGGTTGGCATCATGAATACTTTTTTTGATATTTTATGAAATATCTTCACGCGGTCTTCACGACAAAAATCATTCCCCATAACACTCATGTTCTCTGACATGTTGTGTTCAGCATACATGTACATAAAGAGAATAGGTCTCCAGCAACCAATGCTTGCCGTAAAAGGCGACTATGCTTTTTGCAAAAGGCGACTAACGGGATCGGGTGGCTCGCCGACTTGGTTTATACATGTTATCGATCCCAATTGCGTGGATCGATGTTCATGATATCAATCACTGGATTGTCTAGTCCAGACTCGATCATTTACGGACTGTCGTCATATAGCTGGAATATTGCTGAGTGCGGCGTAAAACAACCAACAAACAAAATCTTTCAAGATAAACCAATTGTCCTTGCAGTTTTTTATTTTGTTCAGATTAGCAAAGTAAGTATTCTGTTGGTAGTATCTGTATATACTAACCAACCAACTTAAAATACCAAGTGGTATGGTCTGTAGACATCTATAAATAGAAATGATGACACTGGTGTCCAGACCATTTCCGGTGTAATGTTACAAGTGCGTAACAATTAATCTGCAACTCTGTCCCTTTTCACAAGTAAATGCACATGTGTATATTTACTACGCGTTCATATGACAATATATACATACAGTGCAATAAAACACATGTGTATATTTTACTATGCGTTCACATGACAATATAAACATACAGTGCAATAAAACACATGTGTATATTTTACTATGCGTTTACATGACAATATTTACATACAGTGCAATAAAACACATATGCAATTTTACTTTTGCACCTGGTCAAGACATGATGTATATTTGCTCCTGCTGTAAATATACACACATGAGTAAACGCGTTCACATGACAAGTGTACACACGTGTGTATATTTGCACATGTTTGTTATGATACTCACACATATGTAAACAGGTGCATGTGAGCGGGGTATTAGTCTGGACCAAAAGAATGACTGTGCTATTCCTAATTTCGGCTGGGTACAAGGGATCAATTCTGTCTCGTAATCTCAAATGTTGTCTTTGTGAGAAGCTGTCTCGACATCGAGTCTGAATGTCTTTTTTACTTATTCACTAGCCTTGTTTACTTATTCAGACTGAGAACGCCATGGCCACGTTGTACACAATTCTATGGATAATTGGTAAGTAATTGTTTTTGCTGGATAAAAACCTTTGCGACAATAGTATTTTTCATTACTTTATCGATATGTACACTGAAAACTTTCCTCTGTAAGTCATGTTTGTTTTGCGATGGTTATATTAGAAAGATCTTTTTTATTTATATGTATGTGAACATCTAATGCGTTCTCTATTTGATTTGTCGTCATCCTTGAATATTGCAATAATAAATAAACCATTAACGCGAGTGAGTGAGTGAGTGAGTGTGTGAGAACAGTACTTCAGTTATGCCCCCGCGTGTCAGCTTTAGGTGAGAGGAAAACCCGTAGAGATGCAGGTCTTAGATGTTTATCACTGGTTCGCCCCGATTATGTTTCTAGGTTTGTCAGCACCATACCCGTGCTCGTGGATTTCACCGAAGTGGTAAACGTCTAAGACCTGCATCACTTCGGTCTTTTCTCCCACATTAGGCTGACACGCCGTGATATAAGTTAGTTAGTACAACCAAAACAACCAATACACAAGAAACAGACACGTTCCATCAAATTGTGTCACACATGGCTCGAGTAGTGACTTCGTTGATTGCGTGGCATCGCAAACCGACAACGTGGATGATGCTCATTATATCAATCATTGGTTTGTCTGGTCCAGAAACGATAATTTACATGCCTCCGTTGCCTTCTCAAAACATGTAACAATAATTGTAATACTGTATTTAGACTTGCCACTGTATTAATTACATTTGTCTCTAAACTACTTGGACGTATGTACATAGCAAAGCTTGAATATGTTCATTCACTTGATGCATTGGTTATAGATAAACCCAGTGGTTAAGGCCCGATTCACCATATGGTACAATGTTTGACGCCCATTTGTGGTCATCCCCTTTGTGCCATTTCTTGAAGATTGTTAAGTAGCTTCGGGTAAACCATATCGACTCAGTTACTCTTTAGTCGTATCATTACTCTTACTCCTTGTGGGGGCACGGGTGGCCCAGTCATCTAAGGCGCCGCAATTCGCTGTGCAGAGTTGCGTCCCTTGGGCGAGCCAGAAACCTATGATTGTGGGTTCGAATTTGGTTCGCCCCGAATATGTTGCTAGGTTTGTCAGCACCATACCCGTGGTAAACGTCTGATACCTGCATCACTGCGGGCTTTCATCCCACATCAAGCTGACACGCCGTGATATAACTCACTCACTTATACCGATAGACCTTTGTCTCAGATGTTGCTTCATCAATAATCCAACTTCTTTGTTCTTACTTCTCTGATAGGCCTTAAGAAGTTGGAGTACTAAGTAAGGATAGGATTTCTAACACCATTATCAAGCATGTGCTTGAACCTACACCGAAACGTCGCTCTTAATTGTAATAAAGAAGTTGTTCATCCATAAATACTATCCTTACTTCTTTGTTGTTCTTTGATCTTAGATGTTGTGACATCAGTAGTCCTACCTTTTGTCGTTCCTTGATCTCGGGTGTTTTGTCATAACTAAGTAACCTTTTGTTCTTTGATCTAAGGTTCTGTGTCTTCATTATTACTTGTAGGTCCTATGATCAATGGCGCATCTTTCGTTCAAGGTATTTTCATAATGTTCAAAGGAACCTAGCAAACAAACGCTAATTAAATTGAAGTATTTCCGGGCCACATTACCCGGGCCAGTTTTACTGATTGTTACCTTGATACCGCCGGAAATATTATTAATACAATACACATTGGGTAATCATCTTGGAATGGCTCCTTCTAGAGACGTGCATTTGACAAAGATTCAATTCACATCGATAATCAATTGTGACAGTATTACAAGACCTAGAATGCTATATGTAACTTTTGTCATCACAATCTCTCTCTTTCATTCTATTCCTCTCACGTCGTAGCTATCGATTTAACAGATCAGTCGGTACACCGATAGCGCTGGTGCATGGAATACACAGAGTGTCTCCCAAGCAGGTTTAATTAGATGAATGTCAATGCATGTTGTTTAGAGGTTGAGACATAGTTAAACATATTTAATTTAACTCAACCTGAGCCAGGTCTCACGGGCTCTTTATGTTTTCAGGAGCACTTATTTATGTTATTTATTATTTATAAGCACCTTTACATAACCAGCCAACCTTCCAGAATGCTTAACATGATCTGGTGATAGACTTCAAACGCGGATACTAGCTGGAAGAAAGAACGCACTGGAAAGCGAAGTCTCACAGCATATTTTTTTTAACTGCATACGCGGAACGAGATTACTCAGATTATTTTTAGCAATATTGTTAATTCATTTGTTTGTTAATTTCACTTATGGTTTGCACATATCTATATTCAAGAAGAATATGGATCGGAAAACAAGCTGTAATGGCTTTAGTCAATATCTCTCAATTACAAATACTTGGAAATGCGTCTAATATCATTTCATACATAGAAACATAATGGGACACTGTTTTGGTACCAGTACATAATGAGCAAGCAGATTTTCAGTCTTTTTGTTGTTGTTTTGTATGTTGTTTAACAGTATTCCAGATGTGTGACGGTGGTCTGTAAATAATCGCGTCTTGACTCGACAATCTAGTGATTGACATCATGATACGATGACATGCATCAAACGAGCCTGACCACACGATCCCGTTAGTCGCCTTTAACGACAAGCATAGTCGCCTTTTACAGCAAATATGGGTTGCTGAAGACCTATTCTACCCCGGATCTTCACGGGTCAATCAATACAATACGTTCTGTTTATCCTTTGCATTAGTTAAGTCGTAATGATGCAAATCTTTAGGATTCCGAAATAAATAACATTTCAGGATATTTGGATTAACAGTGCAAGTTCTGTTAGCATTACCACTAAGAATCGATTTCGTATCCCAGAAACCCTTTTGAATCATAAAACAAGGATGTTCTTCTATCCTGGTGAAGCAGGACATTATCCATAGCCCTGTTCCACTCAACACGACTCTACAAGCCGTTGCTGTCCGTGTTACTTTGAACATAGTGTTTACACTGTGTTCACTGTATCTTCCACCTTCCTCATCTATCCGTCAAGCAGATCTTCAGACTTTGTAGGATCAGCTCTCGAAGCCCTGTATCATCATGGGCGATTTAAACGGTCATAATCCCCAATGGAGGAGTACTGATACAAATAATAAGGGATAAGTCTATAAGAATTGATCTCAAATAATGATCTATGCATCTTCAATGATGGTTCTAATACCTGTCTTCATCCTGCCACTGGCACCTACTCTGCCCTTGATCTTTCACTTACAGATTTAAATATTTTAAAATAATTTGAACGGTCGGTCCATGATCACCTTCGTGGAAGTGACAAATTTCCAACAATACCTACATCTATGGACCACATTCAACAAGGTTGAACTTAACAAAGGCCAATAGAATTTTATTCCAAACAGCCGATAATTTCAGGAATGTTTCTGATCCTATACAACTATGTTCAGACCAATCAAATGTTATTGGAAACGAAAACATTCCTTAGTCCTCTGCAAACTCTCAAATACGTAAGCCATGGTTTGATAATGTTGTAGACAAGACAGAACAAATAGGAAGAGCTGAGAAATATTTCCGTCGACATACTACCGTAAACAACCCCAATAGAGTTTAAATCACTTTAAATTACTTTAAAGCAAAATAAACGTCAATCCTGAAGGAAGTATGTATCAAAACTCACACACACTGTTACCACTAAATCTGAAATTGCCAACAAACTTGGCGAAACTTCAGCAAATCATTCCTTGTCATCTAATTACATCCCTCAGTTTCAGAGATTTCAAAAACAACAGGAAAAGATACAAATGAATTTTAACTCTGAGGGCAACAACGAAACACTTGCAATCCATTAATTAGGTACTGCCCTGGGGCGAGGTCATGATACTGCAGCAGGAGCCGACAACATTCATTATCAGCTTCTGAAACATTTACCTGGTTCATGTTTGGAACATTGCTTTATATACTGAAATACAAAACAAACGTCACCATGGATGGGTATATGAGAAACCTTATTTGTCCAAACACTGTTAACATTCTTTGAGACAGATTAAAAAGATGAAACTTGGCAAAACCGATCACCAATGTTGAAATTAAAGTGTCAAATGTTCTTAAAGTGAATCCGCCATGTGCATTGATGACTCTCGTGCAACGTCGATACATGGAATGGATGAGGCGGTTGATGAAGGCCATAGGCACTTGAGCCCACACTCTGAGGAACGCCTGACGCAGTTCAGCTGCAGTTGTCGGCCTTGGTCGGACGTCATTCAGCCGTCTTTGAATCATCTCGTCCCACAGGTACCCAATTGGATTTAAATCGGGACTGAGGGCAGGCCACTGCATGGTTCTGATGCCATTCTGCTGGAGGAAGTCTCTTGTTGCCCTCGCAGTGTGGGCACGGACGTTATCATGCTGAAACTCGTGGTTGCGGCAACGTGCCAAATGAGGTATGGTGTGTGGTCTCAAGATTTGATCAATGTACCGAGCTACAGTGACACCATTGCCTCTCCCTGGACCGATGTCCGGGCCGACTCTAGGTACAGGACCAATTCCATCCCACATCATGATGCTCGGCTCACCCAACGAGTCTCTCTCAACAACATATGCATCCCAATAGCGTTTCTCTCTCTGCCATCTGCTGTTGAGATACAGTAACGGCTCTCGTCTGAGAAGAGGACTCTTCTCCACTGCTGGTGGCACCAATGCTGGTGCAGTGTTGCCCACTGAAGACGGTCCCGGCGATGACGTTGTGTCAGAATAGGTCCTCGGTGTGGCCTGTGACAGTGGAGGTATCTGCTCGTCAATCGTGGACGCACCTGTAGTGTTGGTGGTCTGGTACCGTTACTGGAGCCTGTATATGGTCCTGACGTGGACTTGAAAAGCATTGGCTACTTGCCGGGCGGTTTGTCCAGCTTGCAGTCGGCCAAGGGCTTTGTGTCGCTGATTTCCTGACAATCTTGGCATGTGGTAGCAATTCAATTAAGTATTGACTGTGTATTTTTTTCGGTTCATTGAGGTATGAATCGAAAAACCGATTT